AAGTCTAGAGGATTCAAATTCCTCTCCCTTCAGATATCACCCGAAATGCTTTCATGCAGTGAAACGACTCTGAAATATTCAAGCAATGCAAAGCTGCACAGGACATGAAAAATGTTTTGTTGCAGTTCTTGCCACCTGGAAATGCACATGTGCACCCAGAAGAGCATCCCAGCAAACTCTTCTGTCTCTCTCCATTTCACTCCAACCTCTGCTGGCTTTAAATATGAATCAGTGTAAAAAAGCACATTTCACTTCAAAGCTGAAAAACTGCATTCTCACCATGGAAAACAGATCCTTGGCATAAAGCATCCCAAATTGTGGGTTAGCACAAAACTCAGGGTGATTCCAGCTCTGGTTTAGGTTTTGCATGTTTTGATATCTTTATGTCACTTGTGATTGCAATGATGCCACCACACTGCAGTGTCAACAACTAATAAACCAATAATTAAGTACGGATTTCAGGGTATTAAAAATTATTTCATCATCTAGTAAGATTAAAATGTCACTATCTAAAAGCAAACAGCTTGAAAATGTCGCTGTTTTTGGTTCTTTTAGGTACAGCTGAGGGCAGTGCCAAGCTCCTCCTTAGAGAGGTTTTCTCCCTAGAGAGGCTCAAACAGGTTTTTATGCAGAACAGGCAGAGTTTGTGTTGAAGATCCCCCTTTTTCATGACCAATTCCTCCAAAATGGGTTTTTATATTGAGATTCCCAAGCACTTACAGAGATGTTGTGACCATAAGAACCTTTTCTACCTCTGCTCTTCCCGTGCCTCCTCCTCCAGGTCCTGCCAGCACCACCCAACACAGCCCTGCTGTCAATCCTCATTAGGCACTGAAATGTAAAAGCTGTCCCAGCTCATGGGTTTAATAGCCTTCCTCACTGCATTTACCCTTTATCCTTATCCAATTTGGAGATTTATTATTACTCCTAATTATCCATAGCGTCGGGTTGATTTGTTTGCTGGACAAAGGCAGCACTGATCACAACCTACATCCCTCCAGGTGCAGCGAGCTGCACTGCAAAATCTGTAACAGGAAGCCTGAAGGGAAGAAAAAAACCACTTGTGTTACACCTCTTTAATCGGGATGTAACAACTTCATCCCCTTTCTCTTTGTTTCTGCTGCTCCAGAGGTGCTGTAAATCAGATTATGTGGCCCAGCACAGTGAGCTGATGTGCTGCCCAGCAGTGACACAAAGCACTCAGCACTCCCCTTTTGCTGCACACTGCTCTGCCAAGTCAAAGGTGGCAGGACACGAAATGCAGCTGGCAGGATTGCTGCCGTGCTGGAGGTACCTGGAAGGGTATTTAGAGCTCCAGAACAAACACAGGACAACCTTTTCAATGCCTTCATCAGCTCACCCCTCCTCACCCTCGGGTACCCCAGCTGTCACACCCGGTGTCACCTCCTGGAAGCCAACCCCACAAAACATCTTTTCAGTGTGGTTATGACTCTTTCCCTTCTCTCTAGCTCAGGAAAGCATTCAAGAACAGGGTCGTGCCCTAAGGATTTTCATTTCTAATCCACGCAGAAAATACACCCAAAATGATGGTCCAGGTTAGAGCAGAGTAACAGCACTTGGAGAGGTGACAACCAGCCCTGGGAGCTCTGCTGTGGCAGCTCTGGGAAGGATACAAGACCTCAATGATCTTCATTTTTAAAACTGCTGGGTTTTTTTTGTTTTAATTTTCTTTCCTGTACTGATGCTTCTTTCCTTCAGTTCATACTTTACCAACTGCTAGAGGTAACAATAATTATCCTTACTGAACCATCAGCAGCAAGTGTCATTCATCTTTCTTTTGGGAGCCCAGAAATCCAGTGGTAGGAAGGCAGGGCAGAATTTTCCTCCTCCTTCAGCTCTCTTATCAAGATTTTCCCCTTCATATTATTTTTGATAACATAAGGCAAACCTGAAACCCCTTCCATGAGAGGAAATCAAAGTCCTGCAGTGACAGGACTGAACACTCCCAGGGGTGATGCTGACCAACTGTTTGCATTTTCTGCTTTGCAGACAGAAAATGCCTGTAAAGACCCAGCAGAGGTGCCACAGCAGGACAGGAACAGCACCCACAACCTCTGAGGATGCTCTGAACTGCTCCCAAAACAGTCCTGTGCTCACTGGGGGCAAGGAAGGAGGAGCTCTGGTTACCCACACAGTGCTGCCACAGCATTAATGCTGCAAATATTTAACCACCCTGCACAACCCACCTCACTCCTGCCACACCAGTCACCCTCCTGGGCTTTACTGGTGCTCCTGGGCTGATAAATTCACAGATATTGCACCACGATTTTGAATGAAGACACAACTCAAGAACGTGGATAAACTCACAGATACAGCACCAGGATTCTGAATGAAGACACAACTCAAGAACACGGATAAATGCACAGATACAGCACCACAATTCTGAATTAAGACACAATTTAAAAACACAGATAAACTCACAGATACAGCACCAGGATTCTGAATTAAGACACAATTTAAGGCCACGCTTTCAATTGCCATGATTTGTGGCTATGAGGTCATTCAGACCAGTCTGCTTCCCTTTTTTCCAGAGAAGATTTGTAGCTATTATTTCCCACCCCCCCCCAAGCAATGATCACATGCTGTTTGCTTCAGCTCTGCATGTTGCAATATCTCAATGAATAATATACAAGGAGCAGAAAATAAACAAGCCCACTGTGCCCGGGGATAACGTGTGGTGTGTTTTTCTTTGGGATGATTAAATGTGAGTGCATGTCATAGGATGTAGGGCTTGCTGTGCTGGGAACCCAGGAGGATGAGAGCACACAGCTCTCTCCAAGCAGGCAAATGGCCACAGAGAAGGTCAAGGGGACCCCCAGGCACCCCAGCATATGCACTGCTGCTCCCTGGGCTCTCTTTTCCCAGGCACACACACTCCTGGCTCACACTCCACACCCCTCAAAAAAAAAAAATCAGATTTCCACCACAGAACCAGGAATCCACTTGGCCTGGCCAGCCTTTCACCAGCTCTGCCACTGGGAGCAGCTCTGCAGGGACCAGAACAAACCACAGAGCTCACAAACTGTGGGATGGTCCCATCCCACACAGCCTGTGCCCCCTGCACTGAAAACCCACTAAAAACCATTTCCTTCCTTTCACACGGAGTCAGTCCCCTCCTGCACACCTCAAGCCAAGCTCCCATTTGGTGCCTTGGCAGCTGCACCAGCCCACCAGGCCTGTGAGATTCCAAACCTTTTCCAAATTGCTTTGGAACATCTCACGAGCCTTTTCTTGCCTTGGTCATGGAGAGGAGGAAGCACCATGAACAGGGCTGATTTCCAGACAGTCATTCATTGTACTACACCTGATGACAACAACCACCTGGCCCATCCCCACTGGAAATAAAAAAAAAAAACACTTAAAAAAAAAAAAAATCTTAGTTTTTCAGTCTCTTGTGTTCTTGCATCTGGTTCAAAGAAATGTTAGGCAAAAATGCAAATCATCTTTCCACTAAAAGAGTTTTTCCAGCACGAGAGCACAGCCTGAGCTCTGCATTTGTGCTGGCACAGAACCACCAATACAACAACCTGTGTCAGACTGTGCAGTCCAGATAAATGTTCCCAAAACTAAAGCCAATCCTCTCTGTACATAACAGCAAGTCACACTTCCAACATCCCACATTCCCATCTCTGTCTCCTGCACCTCTCAGCCAGCTTCATTTCTGAGCAAAGAAATACAGCCCCAGATTTCAACAAGCTTGTTTATCTTCAATTCCCTTTTCAGGAAAATAAAGACAGGGACAAGGACCTCCAGAGAGTGATCCCCAGCCCCATTCACCCAACAAACACCCAAAAAGAGTTCACTGCCTCTGCATTTCTTCTTTCACCACAGCCACGTTTGTTGTGTGTGAAAGTATTCTGTTTCTACTACTTTGTGTAAAGGGATTTTCAATAGAAGAGAAGTAACAACATCAGAAAATACTTCTAGCACGGAGGTTTCACTCAGTAAACAGGTGTCTGGGAGATTATCTCGCCAATTTAACCAAAGCTGCGAACACCACAGCGGTTCTGGGATGACTAAAATCCCCCTTTTTTCAAATAAAAGCCTTTTATCTGCCAAGCGACACTTCCTGTTCTAAAGGCTATTCTCCTCGGTGGTTGTCAACTGTGTATTAATCTAATTCATATAAGCCTTAGAAATAAATTCTTTCATGTGCACAATCTTTTGGGAAACTGATTCCCTGAGGCTTCAGAGAGCAATTGTTGCTTATCACCGTGGAAATTTCCACTGAATTTAAAGCTTGGTAACAAGTTAAAAAAAGACACATCAAATTTTTCAGTGATTAACAAGTTTCCCAGTCATTGTCATCCTCAAAGGATTTTCATCTGATCGGTAGGAAAACTGCTAAAAATGAAAATAAAAGGGAAGTGATCTGACCCAGTAAGGCAGTTCCCGTCTTCCCACTCCTGTCCAAAATAATGGCACTCACTTCTAACGGTCCCTTACAGGCAGCAGCAATATCAAACACCTTGGGCTTTATTTCAAGGACCAATGTGCTGCCAAAGACAAACACTGCTTAACTGCAAGTGGATAGTTAAACCCTCCCTACAGAGCTCTCCTAACAAAACCACTCTGCGTGTGGGAGAGGCAAGCTCTGCCAGAGCACTTACAGAAAAGCGGGTAATTGAAGTTTTTCTACATTCAAACTCCATGCCTGTGCAATGAAAACCTGGTTTTAAAAGCGCCATAGAGCAGAGAAGTTTTTTCTGCTGCCGTTCTGTCTGTGGTGGCACAGAAATGGCCCTGCCAGAGCAGCAGCTCTGTGCCTGGCTGCTCGCTGTGGGGCCGTGACAAACACGCGCGACAAACTCCCGCAGACGGCGCCTCCCAATGCTCCTGGCAGCGTGCAAAGAGCAAAACGAGAGATGAAAATGTGTCAGCCACTGGCAGCGACCTGCACTGTGGATCACCTTCAGATCATGAGATTCACGCCATGTCCCCAACACCGTGCCAGCAGCACGCCCGGCCAACCTCCCTACCTGAGGATGAACTGATCCACCGTGGAGTTGTTGGCGATGGTCACGTAGACGTTCACCACCTCCCCTTGTTTGACGGGCTTGGAGGGCAGCCACACCACCACGTTGCTGTCCAGCCTCAGCTCCGTGAGCTGGGAGGCCTCCTGGCCACGGTAGAGGCTGACAGAGCCAATCCTCTGCAGGTGAGCCACGCTTTCATCCCCGCCATCCTTCCCGGGCCGGATGGCGTTACCTTTGCGGATATCCTCGGCCGTGCACTCGCCCTTCTCGTCCCCGGGCTGCACCGTGTAGTAAAGCTCCACGGGGCTCCCTTCCAGCTGTTCCAGCTGTTTCTTGCGGCCGCTGAGCACGCTGGGGGGGCTGAACCAGGCGGGCAGCAGCTCCAGCTGTGCCACGCAGAGCCCCAGGTGGCCGCGCAGGCGGCAGCTGCCGCGCACCTCGCGCGTCTCGCGGAAGGCGAACACGCGCAGGCAGGGCAGCCGCTCCGCAGGGCTCTGCTCGTCCCAGTCCCTGCCCACCACGTGGAACAGCACCTGCACACGGGGCTTGCTCAGGTAGATCTTGCTGCTCAGGATGTAGGCCCGCAGCTTCCAGTTGTAGGGGAATTTGTTGGCGGATCCGAAGGGGTTGGATGGCAGCATCAAGTCCTGGGGCACCGCCTGCTCCACCGAGAAGGGGCCGTAGCTGGCGTTTAGCACGGGAGGTCTCTTGGCTTTGTATGGGAAGAATGACTCCACCCTGGACTGCAAACTGGAGTTTCTCATGAAGTCCTGGTTGGCTTCTTTGAGGAAGAAGGATGTCTCGGCGTTGAAGAGGCGATAGCTCACGGGTAGGTACGTCGGTAATGAAGAAAATCGCTGATTATTGTCCAGCACCCCTCGACACTCTGTCACTAATAAAAGAAAAGGTGAGTTAGACCAAGGCTGCTTATGGATTCCAAGGGACACTTAGCACAACTTCAGTGGAGCCACCTGGTAAGTTAGGGACTGGCATTATTCCATGCAAAAATTATTTACAGGGTAGTTCCGTGTTTAGATAGAGATAACTATTTTCTGCATTACGTTTGCAAAAGAAAATAAAACGCAGAATGTCAGGACAGCCCAATGACCAAGATCACTGCTGATCACCAGCCCTGCAGGATCAAAGGGAGTTTCTGCTCTAAGGGCAAAGAAACTGCTTTTTAAGGACTCTCACACACACACAACCATTTCACTCTCTGTGTCACATAACCTTGCTCTTGTATTACTGCTCCTGGCACTATAGTCCATATCTCTGTGGCAAAATCCTGACAGTATCTCAGTTTCCTAAGTTCTTTACATGCAGATGGGCATCACAACCCAGAATATTTCAACAAATACTCATACATAAAATGCACACAAAGAGGATCAGCACATGCTGGCCAATTTCAAGTTTCAGCTGAACATCAGATCCCTTTTGACCTAAATATTTTCCCGTTAAGATTAATAGCACATTGTTGAAAGGTAAATGTATTGTCAAAATTAGGGTAGGTAAGAGTGGAGAAGATTTAAAATACATCTTGATTCTGTCATACACTTACAACCCAGACTGAAGGGATTGGCTGTAGGCACAGAAGGTAAATGCATCTAATGCTGGACTTGTTGAGTACTGAAAAAACAGAGCTTGCCCTCAGTTCCAGTGCTCTCAGGAAATCCCATCAGAATCAGGACTGAAGGTTCTGTGTAGGTTCAGCTCTTTAAAGAATAAAGGTAACCAGAAGGACAACACAGAATGCACAGATTCATCTGGAAACTCAGGAACACCTGAGGATCCCCAAAAACCCCACAGAGACCCTGTCCTGCCACCTCCTTCACAAAGGGCAGCATCCTGGGGATTGCTGCAAACCACATTTGCTGCCCTGGCATGTCTGGCTGCTAACGTGCTAATTATGCAGGCAAATTTAATTAAATGTTTTCAAGTAACGAATAAACAATCGATACCTGTCATGACACCAAATGGCTGCTGACAGCCAGCCCCACTGCAGCCCTTGGAGTGTGCAGTGCCAGAGTGCAGGGAAGGGAAGGGAAGGGCTTTGCAAGGAAGGTGTGAGGTAATTAAGAAAAGAAGGAAACAAACGTAGAGGAGGAAGAAGTCAGAACTCCCAAAGGACAGCAGCCATAAATTTGAAATAAGGAATTAAGATGTGTTCACTCATGTTTAATTCATGCACCACCACTGGATGATAGGAATTGTTCTCAAAACTGAGCAAACTTCCATGACTGGGCAGAAATTTAAACAAACCAAACCAAAGTAAAAATAGGAAAAGAAGCAGTGAATTGTCAGCACAACACCCTCTGTGTCAGGCAGAATAACATTTAAAACATAAAACATTGGTTTGGCCCACTGCTACAGCCCTGCAAGGCTCTGATCCTTGGCACACATTTTAATTCTGCTGAAGATGTTACAAATGTCACCTCCTGAGCTGACTGGTTTCCCTTACCTGAGTCTGTCAGGCTCTAACACTTCTAAAAGGAACACAAGGAAGATCCCCTTTGGGCCATGGCCCTTTCAAGGAACGAGGAGAACCTACAGATTTCTTTGGTCCAGCAGCAGAACAAGAATTTGGGTCACTGATGCAGGAGGAGTTTCCTCTCCAAGCCCCTTCACCCACCCTGGATGAGCCTGCTGGATCTGCTCCTGCAAAAAGCAGCCACTGACATCTTACATGACAGATGCCAACGTTCTTTTAAATTAAAACACTGCTTTGCCAGACAAGAATTTCTTGGTCAGTCTGGCTACTGAATGTGACTTGATGAGAATTTTTTCCTTAGGTGTCCTGCTGCTCAGCCAGGAGCCCCGTGGTACCACAGAGCTGTGGTGAAGGGAAGCACAGAAACCCCTGGTGAAGGAAAGCACGGATTGATTTCAGCACACAGACAGAGTTTTGCTGCAGTGTTTCCATGACCAGGGATATTCCAGACACTGCTCCTGAGGGAATCTCTGCCTTTCAGCAGAGCCACACAAACCAGAAATCAACTCAGCAGGCTGCAGAGACAAGTGAAGTCCTGTGATTTCAAAGGGTTGCTGGTCAGGATCTAAGCCTGAGACTTTGCAGCTGTTTTTTGTGCAATTCCCAGGACTTTTGCTGCAGCACATTATCCTCAGACAGTGGGCTCATTTTTGCAGGCACTTCATTTATCCTGGGTTAATCACATGCATGAGGTATGTAGGACTTGGCCCAATATTAAGAAAAACAGTCATGCAACTTCTGCCTTAGAACACAAACAGCAAAACCCATGTGGCCAAACTGACAGCAAAAAGAAAAAGAGACTTCACTTTTTTTTTATTGCAGTCTGAAGATTTCCACCCACTTTCATACCATACATAATGGATTCCTATATTTCTATACTGAAGGCTGTACTTTAGACAACTTATTTAAGCACTTTAAGCCTTTTACTGCTAAAACTGATAGTTAAAATTGGCCATTTTATTTTTAGAATCCCAACACCATGCATCAGCAACTGCAGGCCATCACTTCAGGGATTTGTTCTATTCTCTTCATCTCTACCCAATAACTTTCCCATCCTGGTATAATTAATTACCAACATTTCCAGAGAACATTTTTGTATGCTTGATCAGCTCCGTTTCGAAAGTTCTTTAATTTATCAGAGAATCTATTTAAACAAGATGCCATGGGTTTTCCTCAGTTTCACATCACAAGTTATTATTTCACATAACCATTAAGCAGTGTTTATCTACCTGAAAAACTGATTTTTAAAAAAAGCAGCTCTGCATATCAATGCTTTCAGGTGCTCTGCAACAGATTTTTGCATTTTAAAATGCTTTACACCCCTTTCCATCATCCAACAGGAGTTACAGCTGCCCAGAGATGAAGTCCTGCATGGAAGAGGTTAACAACCATCAAACAAAACCAGCATTAGCCAAGAACAAAAGTGAAGGCTTACAAGTAATTACTTCTTCTTTGTAACAGCCTGGTGACTTTTTAATCCTTCTTCTGGCATCATATGGCTCTGCAGCACTTCATCTGAACCCAAGCAGGCATCTGCTAAGCACATCACTGGCTCCAGTGTGGCACAGCAGCTCAAATTCCTGCAACCCAGTGAGCTCACTGGATGGGAAACAGCGACTCCTGATCTGTATTATTATTATTATTATTTCTTGGATTCCAGCATAAGAGGAATTTTCTTTCGGGGTATTTCACATGGAGCTGGAGCCCTGGGTGCTGGATTCACTGGAACAGTCATAAAAGCTGAATATCTTTGAGTTGTTCTTTTATGAGGTTGGTTTGAAGTGACTTTCTGTTGGGCAGGGAATTAAGGGTTTAGCTCGTGGGTGGGAGATTACTGGCCAATGGCCACGGGTCCTCAGTGCCTGATGTTTGCTGAGCCTTCAACCATCTGCCTGTCCCCTCAGCCAGAAGCTTCTGAGCCAGGCAAGTCAGAGAGGAGCACAAGACACCAGCCCATGCAAAGGAGTGGTGTGAGAAGCCTTCCCTGCACCTTGTCTGGCCCCCAGAGGCAATTAATTAATAATTGTCCCTTGCAAAAGGGGACAAACCAGAGCAGAAGTGCTGATTGCTGTGTCACCCAGAATTCTGTAACTTTTCAGGCAGGATCTTCTCCCTCCTTTCTCCAACAGCTTTAGCACCACCTTTCCTCCATTCCTGCACCCAGCTATAACTGAATGCTGCACCATACTGATTTTAATTTTTGTTCCACTTCCACGCCACCAGAGTTTTAAGGAACAAATCCCACCTGGTATTATTCACAGCACCATCATCACCTGAAATCCTGCAAATGCTCTAAAAGATCATCCCTGTTCCTTCCATGGACACCCATTGCCACCTGTCCCTTCACCCAGAGGAGCAAACATCCTCACACAAACCATGCCCTCACAAAATCCCCATCCTTGAATTCTCTTCTCACTCCATCTTCCACAAACCTGTCCTGCTCCTGCAGAGCAAATCACAAATTCCAGCTCAGGAACTACAGGGAAAGAATGAAAGTAGAGAGGATTCACTTCAACCAGCACAGATGTTTCCTTCACCACAAAATGTCAACAGCTATGTTTGCTGGTTCATTTTCCCTTAATTTTCTGTGCCAGCACCACATCCAGTCACATTTAGTGACTTCACAGTGTACAAAATCTTTGCAGCAATATTTTGCTCAGAACTAGAGCTCAGCAAATACATTCACTTAGACCTCAGAATGACCTCAGCTGTACTCTCATCCCCTCCAAGTTCCCTCTTCTTAACATCCAGAAAAATGGAATTTTGCTGATGGAAAGGCCGAGTGGAATCTTAAACCAAACAAGCTCAAATTCAGGATATGGAACAGATTTGGAACTGTGAGGG